TAGCCCAGTTTTACCTCTGGGCCAGACTCTGTGCCCAAAGAGCAGTTAGTGGATATTGCATGTGTCCCTGTCATGGCCACAGAACAAATCCTAAGTCCCCATCCCCATTCCCTCTTTCACAGGCAGAGTTCATGAACCTGCCCTCCGTTGCTGTGTATGACAATGGGATCACTGGGGAATGATGTTGGGAGGAATGTCGCAGCATGGGGAGAAATGGGGAAGCAGGTTCTCCTTGCTGACCCACAACTGACAGGAGCAAGGAGATACAGTACCAGATAACTACCAAATGGAGCCATCAGCCCAGAAAGGACACTGCAACTGAGAATGACCCTTCTAAGGCAAAAGAAGTGAGGAGGAGGAAGGGCTCATCCTTTACAACCTCCCTAAGCCACTTCCAAAAGCACGTGGTGTTGGTGGGAGTGGAGGCAAACAGAATTCTGATCCCCAGAATCCGCTATCCCCTGCACAGACAGCTCCCTGGAAGTTACTGTAGTCACTGGGGGAAAAGACTCCGAAGTCCCTGTGAGGAGAAAAGGAAGGAGGCAGGTCTGCAGAGAGATGGTGGAAAGCTCTTCTGAACTTCTGTGGGGCTCAACTGCAATCAGTTTTTCATAGATTCACAGATATGAAGGCCAGAAGGGACTACTGTGATCATCCAGTCTGACCTCCTTTATACCATAGTCCACAGAATGTCCACAAAATAATTCCTAGGCTAGAGCATATCTTTTACAAAAATATCCAATCTTGATGTAAAAATTGCCAGTGATGGAGAATCCACCACAACCCATAGTAAATCGTTCTGATAATTAATTATTCTCACTGTTAAAAAATTTACTTCTTATTTCCAGCCTAAATTTATCTAGCTTCAACTTCCAGACATTGGATCATGTTATATTTTTCTCTGCTGGACTGAAGTGCCCATTATCAAATACTTATTCATAGAATCATAGGCGTTAAGGTCAGAAGGGACCATTATGATCGTCTTCTAGTCTGACCTCCTGCACAACGCAGGCCACAGAATCTCACCCACCCACTCCTGTATCAAACCCTTAACCTATGTCTGAGCTATTGAAGTCCTCAAATCATGCTTTAAAGACTTCAAGGTGCAGAGAATCCTCCAGCAAGTGACCCGTGCCCCACGCTGCAGAGGAAGGCAAAAAACCCCCAGGGCCTCTGCCAATCTGCCCTGGAGGAAAATTCCTTCCCAACCCCAAATATGGTGATCAGCTAAACCCTGAGCATGTGGGCAAGACTCACCCACCAGACATCCAATTACCCAATTACCATTGACCTCAATATCCTTAACTACTTTCTCTTTCAAATTTTTTTCCAAGATCTTGCATACTACAGATGTCAAACTAACAGGCCTGTAGTTACGCGGATCACATTTTTTTCCCCTTTCTTAAAAACAGGTATTTATAGACTCTATTCAGACACCCCGAGCCGTCTCTTTGTTAGGCTAAACAGATTGACCTCTTTGTCTATCACTATAAGCCATGTTTTCTAATCCTTTAATCATTCTTGTGGCACTTCTCTCAACCCTCTTCAATTTAGCAACATCCTTCCTGAATTGTGGACACCAGACCTGGACATAGTATTCCAGCAGTGGTCGCATCAGTGTCAATTACAGAAGTAAAATAACCTCTCTACTCAAGATTCCCCTGTTTATGCATCCAAAGATTGCATTAGCCCCTTTGGCCATAGTGTCGCACTAGGAGCTTGTGTTCAGCTCATTATCCACCTTGATTCCCAAATCTTTTTCAGAGTCACTGCTTCTCAGGATAGAGCCCCCCATCCTATAGGTATGGCCTACATTCTTGTTCCTAGATGTATACATTTACATTTAGCTGTATTAAAATGCACATTGTTTGCTTGTGCCCAGCATACCAAGCAATCCAGATCAGTGACCACTCCCCCTGTTCTTTTGTCATCTGCAAACTTTATCAGTGATGATTTTATGTTTTCTTGTTACCTGCGGTACTGGACATCCAAAATGAAGCTCATCTCCACAGAAGTAATAGAGGTGAGTGGCCTCTGGTATTTTAGCCCACTGGTACTTTAGCCAGAGTACAATTAAAGGTCCAGTTCTGGCACCCTTACTTATTCTGCAAGTGGTCTCATTTAAATGAATGGATTGATTCTTTCTCTCCCCCCTAATTTTTGGCGGGAGTTATTTAGATTTCACATCTCCTTTAAACTAGAACAAAAATATATCTTTACTCAGATAATCTCCATTCCCACCCTGCTTGACAGAATGTATAACTTTGAGTTAGTCCTACTGCTGCAGTGATAATGAGTGATTTGATCTTAAAGAACACAGTGAATGCCATCTAATTATGCATCAGGAAATATGATTGGCATCTGTCATGTGTGGGGTCTTCTCTCATTCTCTGTCTAAAGTAAAAACTGTTTTTATTTCTGAAAGTATAAGGGTCTAATTTGTGGGCAAATTAAATACACCACTAGCAAAGGATGCTGACAAAGGCTTTTTCACAGTGCTTTACAGGTATGTTTCCAGGGATGAACCTGCACTCCACAGCAATGGATTCTGGTTTCCCTCTAAAAAATTGAAATATGTTTTGGCTGTGGTAGCCAAAAAGAACATATTGAGTAAACAGTGGTTTATGCTAGGTCACCTAAGTTTTGCTGATCGGGTTGTCTCACTTGCAAGGGCATTATCCATACTTTCCGAAACAAAAAGTTGGCACTATTTCATTCAGATGACAATGGCGTCATAGAATAATCTAAGAATTTAGCAAGTTTTCCTTCATAAACTCAATAAGTATGTCAATTTGACAGTCAGAATGGCTACAGATATTTGCTGCGCAGATTTTTCCAAATACATCCCTGGCAATGGGTTTGGAATCTAATTTTAAGAAGCATGGCATTTTATGGAACATGGTGTTCAAAGCAGGTCACAGAATCAGAGAAATGTAGGGCTGAAAGGGACCTAAGCCACATCTCCAGCACCGACCTGTGTGTAGAGAGCTGAGGAGATCCATCTCAGGAATGGAAACTGAGGCAGTGCCACACTTGGCCAGCAAGGGGGGGGGGTGCTACAGGGAAGCCACATCCCACAACATTAACGTATTTCAGTGGTTAACTATCTTACAGTTAGGAATTTTCCCCTAATATCCAACCTAAATCTCCATTGCTGCAGATTAAGTTGATTACTTCTTGTTAGTACATGCGCAAAGTGCCTCAGGTGACACATGACCAGGATTCATCACCAAATTTGGTCAGCTGGTTGGATCATTAGACTGCCCAGGCGGGGTACTGATGGGGAGTGTGACGTGAATGCTGATCCATGCCCCCCCGGATTACTTCTTGACCTACCTTCAATAGACATGGAGAAAATTTCATCACCATACTCCTTAGAACAGTCCTTAACATATTTGAAGACTATTATCAGGCTCTCCCTCAGCCTTCTTTCCCTAGATTAAACATGCCCAGTTTTTTTTAAGCTTTCCTTATAGGTCAGGTTTTCTAAACCTTTTATCATTTTTGTTGCTCTCCTCTGGATGCTCTCCAATTTGTCCACATCTTTCTTAAAGTGGGGCACCCAAAACTGAACACTGTACTCCAGCTGAGGCCTCACCAGTGCTGAGTACAGCAGAACAAATACCTCCCGTTTCTTTCATCTGACACTCCTGTTAATATATCCCAGAATGACATTTTTCACAACTGCTTCATATTGTTGGCTCATACAGTTTGTGAACCATTATAATCCCCAGGGCCTTTTCAGCAGCACTACTGCCTAGCCAGTTATTCCCCATTTTGTAGTTGTGCATTTGATTTTTCCTTCTTAAGTGTAGTAATTTGCACTTGTCTTTATGGAATTTCATCTTGTTGATTTCAGACTGACAATCCTATGGAAAATATTGCTCATATAGGATAGATAGATAGATAGTTGTTAGATAGAAAGTTATTTTTATATTTGAATAACAAAGGTCCTAGTAGTAAAAATCAATAGTAATTTGCCAAGTAAGAATCAATTATAGAACTAGCGAGTGTTCATGTGCTATATCCCTAATCAAATAGCACAGTATTCTGTGCCAGGAAAACTGAACCATACACAGTACTGATGCTTTCTCTCATTTCCATTTCCAAAATCCCATTTCCTGGTGGCAACAGTGGACAAAGAGTATGCTCCTGAGAATCTAAATGTTACCAAGGGAAGAAGTTTCACCCAGGACTATAACCCTTCAAAAGCCAGCCATGAAATAACATATGTTGTAATTGTTACTACTTTAGGGCAATAAATAGTGAGGTGCCAAGCTCCTCCTGAAAGCAGGACAGCAATGGAAGATAAGATGCTGTAAGAATTGTGAAAAACTCCCGGAAACAGCCAGCAGCAGGTCCGGCTCCTAGGTAGAGGTGCACGAGCAGCTCTGCATGGCTCTCATCCGCAGGTACCGCCCCCATCCCAGCTCCCTTTGGTCGGTGAGCCGGTGTTTAGGGCGGGGGCAGCACGCAGAGCCCCATGGCCCCCCCACCTAAGAGCCAGAACTGCTGCTGGCCGCTTCCAGGGCGCAGCGTGATGTCAGAACAGGTAGGACTAGCCTGCCTTAGCTGGGCAGCACCGCCCAGGGGATTTTTAATGGCCCGGTCAGCGGTACTGACCAGAGCCGCCGCAACCCAGTGCCTTACATTCTGCGACCCAGTACTGGGTCGCGACCCTCAGTTTGAAAAACACTGGTCTAGTATTAAGTATTTATGTATTGTGTTGGAAAGGACACAGACACTTGTACTGTATGAGGTGCAACATGCCAGCTGATCATTAGTGAAAATCATGTCAAATGTATCTACTTATACATCTGAGGTCCAATTATCCTGTCATCTGCATATGCACAACACCAACTGACTTCAAAGAGAGTTGCATGTGCACAACTGATGGGATAATTGAGCCCCTGGTAATTCAAGTTCCACAAGTCTACCTCCAAAGACCCAGCATTTTGATAAACACATGGAATTTCAAAGCAATACAAAGTTGAACTTACGGACACACATTTCCCTGCTTTCATAAAATCCAGGACAGCACTGAGATTTCCGTCTGTACATTGTTTTTTCTCCATGCCTGTAGGCAGTACGGTAACTGATTCTAATGAAAAATAAATGGATGTTAAATTTATTATAATAGCTTTGAAATAAAACAATGTTTAATTTAGCATATTTAGGAATATCTTGGGTTGATACATAATACAAGAGAAACAAAAACAAAGATTTGGCTTTATTGGTTGATAAATTTAACAATATCAATGTTCCATTCTGGAAATTTGCCAGTATTACCATCATAAACCTTATTTTTCAGGGGCCAGTAAAAAAGATTAAGCATTCTGATTATTAGCTTACATTTAAGCCAATAGGTGTCGCCATCTTAGATTTTGACATTTCTGGAAATAGAGCTTTCGAATGTAACATTTTCTAGAATAAAATTAAGGAACTACACAACACAAATTGGCCAGCCTATAAGATCATTATAGGTTCCAACTTCCAAAGGCAATAGTTCTGGAAATTACCCTGCAAAAGGTTTACTCAGGGTCTCAGAGCCAGAGCCATACTGCAGGGTTAAGAGGAAGAGAGCACAGCTCTATGGGCTCAGATCCTGAAAAGTGCTAACTTTTGTGGAACATGAGGGCACACAGAATTTCACAGGCGTGAGGCATTCAGCACCTTGCAGGATCACGCCCCATGTGAACAGAAGCACTAACACAACAAAAGAAACACAAATTGTGTCAATGTGACAATGGTAAAGAATCACAGAAAGAGTTGCTTTTTTTTCCTAACACTAAACAAGCAACTTTATTAGAATAAGGAATATAGCTTTATCCCTACAGCCTCTCTCTCTACACTTTCTCTCTTCACTGTAGAGTTCCAGCCTAGAACCTTCCCAAGCTCTCTCCTGTCTGGCTTCTGACTACAGATTTAAGGAAACAATACTCATACCCTCACAAAACCTGACCTAATATGAACACTGAACAATGAACAGCACACATCTAAATGGCAACATAGAAGACACATGTTGTCAGTACAACATCTCCATGAACTCTGTATCACTTGTATTTCGTATTGTCAATATTAAACTATCTTATGTGGTATGCTCAAGGAGTAGTTACCCAACACCACCATAACTAATGGGTGTATCAGATTGGGCAGAAGAGAAAGAATACTTTACAGCTGCCGAGGCCAGTTTTGAGTCACTCATTCCTTCCTTATTTTGTTACTATGCATAAGAAAGGGATTTCCTTGAACAAGCCTTTTTTTCCCCTGAAGGCAATGTTCCCTTTCTCCAAAGAGGGCAGCAAGTCATATGCCTCATTTTACACCTCCCTCCAGTTACTCCTTATAGGAGCTGAGGGGTATCATTTTTTGGTATATCATACAAATCTTTTTTAACCTGGTCACCACGTATTAGATACATACCCATTTATGATGGGTTGATAGACCCTATGATCTTGACAGGGACAAATGCTATAAACACATATACTATTGACTGATTTAGACAAACATTTTCCAGATGAGCTCAACTGTAACTGCTAGACAGTTTATTCACTATTGTTGATGTATGTTGTACACAACAGACAGTTTTTAACACACTAAATATATACCTTTCATACATTACTACAACAAATGAACAATTTGAAAATATTGATAATTATAAATTACCTGTGTCGTGTGCATTTAAACCAGTTCAGTATGTCAGTACAGCTGGTGTAGTAAATTTGATCAAAAGGATGTGGATATGATTCTTGAACTGTAACTGAATAACTGAAGAGAAAGAAAACAGATTACTGAGCAAGTATATGCTCATAGTATTAATCTTTTTACAAAGAAAGATCAATCCCAGTAGATTAGCTGTAGCTAGAATTCATGACTACACACAGGTCTTTGCGAGAGAGCCAATAACCCCTAGAAACATCTATATCAGTATTTAACAATATAAGACTATGAACTTGACAGTCCTTTTCCATCCAAGTTTGCCTTCACAGATGCAGACCTGCAGAAGAGAAGTTCCTTGAGCCTCCCTAAGAAACAGCTCTACACATTACACTATCAACTAAGACTGTCCCCTTCCTAAGGGTATAGTCTGTGACTGTCAAACTCCAACTACTATGTATGAAAATTTAGGAAATGGCATCAAGGAAGCACTTAGCACACTCAATGCTTTCTCTACTGTTTTACCAGAAGTAAATGTAAAATGGAGTGGCAAGTTCTTCCCTGGGTGCCTAACCATCAGGGATGACAACTCCAAAATGGAACACAGCTAAAAAAGGGCAGGATTCACTGAATGGAAGGTTCTCTTGTCATGATGGTATTTTGGAACAGGGAGGAAAAAGAAGGATGAGCGCCCTGCCTCACTACACTGAACTATGGAATAGGCACTGCAAGTACTTCCAGGAAAGTGGAACACATCCAACCCCAAGCCAATACCGCCCTCAGCAGTGATTATCAGTGTGGGAAGATCCTCATCCTAACCAATAATTGCAAATTTGTTACTTTCTACAAAGAACACCAGTTCTAGGTTCCTTTCTCACTGCCTTCTCCTCTCCAGGAGGGAATAATACAGCAGGAATTACACCAATTACAGCTCTAATACTGTAGATATTTTCATGGCCTGTGGCACAGGCTCTGAGGGAGGAGATGGATGGCTATCCCAGTCTTCAGCCCATCTTGCTGTTACAGTGCTAGACATGAGTAGCTACACTACTAAGAACAGTGAAATGGAAGGGTTTATTTGGGTTTCTCTTTTGCACATGGGGCCATGAACAGGTCAGCTCATAGCAGCAAGTAGTTTATGAGGCATTATGAGCCTTATGTGCCCCAGAAGGCCATTCACCCACTCTGCAGAAAAAGGGCCAGCTCCTGAGAGGTGTTGAGCACTCTCAATTTTGATTGATTTTAGTGGAAATTATGGACCTTCAATCATTTGGAGGATTGGGTCCTAAGGCCTTAATTTGGTACTACATAAATAAAATAAAATAATCACCATCCTAACAGAAGCATATCAGTGCATACAATTTAACTTTGACTCTACATTTATTTTTTTCCTTAATATTTTCATGTGAGTTTATTAAAGATACAGACCACTAAGAGTTAATGTTGTTTGGGTTGTTTGTTTAAAGACAGCCTTTCATTTTGTGCCAAATTTTCTGAACTTGGGAGGTCATATTTCTTTTCAAGAAAACTGTACCTGAAATTAATTATGTCTATCAAAGAAAGTGATCACTAGATTCTGATTTATTGAAGACTTTAATAATTCAAAGTGGATGGCAACGATAACTAACCAATGTAATCTAGGAGTTTCTACAAAATGACTGAGTTCTATTATGCTGTGAATTGTTGTTGATTGTGAGAAAAGTATAACAAGAGATCTTACAGTTAACTAAAGAGTAACATCTGCGTCAGTCATAATATTTTAATGTTCTTATTCTCAATCCTAACAATGTCCATCATTTTATGAAATGGAAAACAGCTAATTGCCACAGATTGGATCTTAACAACCTAATAAATCCTATATTATGCAGATATTAACAGATAGCCAAACATAACATTGATTTCTGTTTAGTTTTTAAATGTCTACCATGTTGCAATTTCCACATTAAAAACATACAGCACAAGACACAGTAGTGTAATGGATATATCCACTTGTACTGAGATGTTTCCTGATGAATATTAAAGTTAAAAAATGACAACTATATGTAAAATTGAAGCTCATCAGGAAGTACAAGCTTAATTAAGAGGTGACCCAACCATCTTTAAAGAACAGAGAGAGGACATGAACTGAAAAAATCACAGACCTCACTAAAAAAAGAAAATTGTTCTGCATGCAGGCAGGGACTGCTCTGCTGGGTAATATATCCGACCAAATGGAACTAAGACTGGATTGTTTAAAGAAAAGTAATGTCAATCTGAAAAATCAGTTGTCTCAAGTGAGGACCAAATTGGAGAAATAAAGGCAGGAGACTGAAATTTGTAATACATTTTCCTGAGGATATATCAAGGGAATAAGCTTTTAAATAATCTCACTGAGCAGCTGGAGAGCCAAGTTTGGAGCCATAAAATGAGGTTTCTTGGCCAACCAGAGAAAGTAGAGAGAGAAAATCTGCTAGGACTTTTAGAGAAATGTCTGAAAAAACTGTACCTGAAATCCGCTTTGAATACTGTGAATGGAAAGACTTAGAGGGATGATTAAGAGAATACCTAAAGTTATGGTATACTTAGATACTAAAATGACAGGAATCTTAGAAATATGTTGGATGATAATTGCTGACAGTGTGTAGAACAATTATTTCATGTAACAGATTTAGGAGATAAAGTGTATTCTGAACGAGGCTTAGAAAGTACGGGACATTAAAGATAAACATATTTTTTTAAAATCACTTTCAAGAAATACAATTTTAAAGTGTTAGTTTTGTTTCCTGCCAAACTACAGGTGCAACCCAGTGGGAAAGTATACATGGTTTGGGACTCAAAGCCTGCAGAGAAGCCATTGGAGCAAGTGGAATCCATCTACATTTCAGAGGAGAAAAGAATAATTGAATCTTAGAAAACTCTTAACCAGACTGTTTGTGCTGGCAATAAATCAACTTTTCACTGAGTAATGGGATTATAACGTATGACAGTGAAGGGTACATTTTCTTCTGTGGTGCTAATTCCCTGGGCTGGCCACAAACATGTGCCAAGTGTGCGGCCAAATAGGGCCCCACACATTTGGTGTCCCTCATCAGTGTCTATTCCAAGACAGCACCTACAATCTCCCCTTCCTGTTTTGACCCTTACCTTGAGAGGGGACACTGGGGATCTAACTTTTCCAAGTGCCCAGAACCCACTCCCTGCTGGTTCCTGCATCCTCCTAAAGACAAACAACTCTAATCCATCCAGCTGTCATACTCTGTCCAACCAAATCTTATGGGGGTTACCTCAACTTCCCTGGGGTCCTGCACTTCTTACTTTACACAGGGCCAGCTCTGTTCATTCCTACTATGCTCTCAGTTCACATGTAATGAGGGTTTTATTATTGGGCGGGCTTCTTACTTAAAGTGTATAGGAATGCCAATGACACAAGCAGTAATAAGCTGGTAGCTGGTGGTTACTCTTTTATACTTATGTACCTGCTGTCTGTTCTGAATGGGAATATAAATGCTATGGCAATTTTCAGTTTGTGCTTGTATACATCTACCCACTCTTTAAGCCCCAGAAAATGGAAGGATGAATGAAAGTTGACATTTAGAAACACTAGGCAGATTTGTTACATTTTTGTTTTCTGCAGCCTTTGATTATTTATCTTAAAGAAATCTTGCAATAGATCATTCTTTTCTTTTTGTTTACATTTATCTTGTAGCTTCCTTCAAAATCATCCCTAGAGCTAAAGACAGCACCCCCCAGCCCCTCCTCATCCCACACCACATAGGACATAAAGTAATATCAGACAAGCTTCTGGCTTTGTGCTTGGCATTCAGAAACCGGGTATTTATTCAGCTAACTACTTGATATATATCAGCAAATACAAGTTTTTGCATATTCTAACTTGCATGTGAGAATTTAAGGCCAGAGAGTTGAAATGTTCCACATGAATCTCAGAGTATTTGTTGGATCAGGCCCTTAGATTTTTGATGAATGGCCCATAAAGTGTAGAAATATCACCATAAGGCATGCGTGTCTACTAATGCTCACTAAAACTCTCAGCACTTAAATATATAATACAATTTACTTCTGATGTCAGAAGAATAACCTAGAGAGGTCCTCAAACTAACAGTCAGCCTGGCTTACTGACTAGCTGATCAGTTGTAGGCATTTTTAAATAATGATAATGAGACCATGAGGCATGGTTTCATTATTATAATCTTTATACATGAAAAGAAGGGAAAACAAATGCTTATTGTTTAATCTTGTCTTACCCAATGTGAACATTCTACTGGCAATTATCATGAAATCATGAAAGCAACGGACTAACTAGATTGATGAATTTATAGACGTACATTTTAAATTTCTGAATCTCATCAAAAAATTAAGCCAACAAGTCTTAATTTAGATTCAGGGAAAGCTGAAAAGTAAAGAAGCACCCTAATCATACTTGGCCCAATTCCAGTATGGCTAATTATATTCTGAATATGCAAATTCCCCTGCTGAGTTAATTGGATAAGGTATTCTTATTAACTTCTGTCCCTGTACGGTTGTGTAGTGTTATTAGTGTCCTTATAATGGATGCTGCATCCTACCCCAGAGATGACTGCATTCTAATGTAAAGCGAGATGGTCCCTTTACATATAGATGGCCCAATTTTTCATTTTTCCCCTTGTAGTAACTGCAGGATCCAGTCCACAGTTCATTATTTTATAAAACACTTTAAAGCATGTGAAATGCCCTGTATAAAATAAATAATAAATATAATCAGAAGCAACTAAGGATATATCAGGTCTATGATGCTAATAGAAACATTACCTCTCCCAGTGGCTACACACATTTGGATCTTCAAGATTCAAGGATAATGTTGTCTCCATCCAGTGGTGTAACAGCACAACCGGGAAGCACAGAAACCAGTTCAAATTAATAATCATCCTTTCAAATAAATGACCTGTAAACAAAAACATGATTTATATTATGTCAAGGTAATATTCAAAGTATAAACATAGGGAGACAAATTCTTCCTTGGTGAAACTCCATTGGTTACACCAAGTTAGAATCTGGCCCCAAACCGGATTATGTAGGCTAGCAGGCATTTAACAGCAAGACACATGGTGACAGCCTTGTAGTAGGAATACAAGGCTCTGCTTAATAGAATTCAAAATCAGAAATTAAATATGAACAGGTTAGATGGCACTGAGTGAGCAAATGCACTACAGTTTTACCTCTGGAGATCTGTGTAGGGTGACCAGATGTCCTGATTTTATAGGGATAGTCCCGATATTTGAGGCTTTGTCTTATATAAGCACATACTACCCCCCAGATCCTGTCCCAATTTTTCACACTTGCTATCTGGTCACCCTAGACCAGTGTCATGTGAAATTGTGTTAGATGGGCTCAGTTTACATACTAGTGGTTATCTGTCTATACCACAGAACAGACACACAAATTAAAACAACTGACATCTTTAGCTCAGAAAAGACTGAAGACTAGAGGAGCAGGAATGTTCCCAATCAGAATGAAGATGCAATTGGTTGAGTATTGTCCAAAAGTGCAGACCACACTTGTTCACAGAATGGCTCTAGGGACAAAGTATTTAGAGCTATGAGTCCCACAGTTTAATAAGACCCAACTTCACTTATAAAAAACCACGATAGTGTATAATGTGAAACAACTGTCTTTTGCACAGCATCTCTCATAAAAACTGTATCCCAGAATTCTTCATCTATCTATTTCTAATGGCTCCCCTTACTATGTCTGAGTACTACACAATCATTAATGGATTTTAGCCTCACAATACCTCTTTGAGGTAATGAAATATCACCCCCATTTTACAGATGGGGAACTAAGGCACAGATTAGAATAAGAGATTGAACAAGGTCACACCGGAAGTCTATATCAGGAATGGAGCCCAGGTCTCCAGAGTCCAAAGTCCAATGCCCTATTCACTAGACCATACTTCCTCCTACTGATAGAATTCAATATTCTTATTGTTTATTATTTGTATTACTGTAGAAGCTAGCAGACCTAGTCATGGACTAGGACCCCACTGTGCTGGGGGCTGTACAAACACAGAACAAAAGACAGTCCCTGCTCTAAGTAGTTTACAAGCTAAGTATAAGACAAGAGATAAGAAAAGGATACAGAAAGAATGGGGAGTACAAGAAAACAATTAGATAATATTAGTCAGCATGATACACAGTGGTGTGTGCACACCAGCAGAGGAGAGCTAGGCAAATGAGAAAGATCTATATTTCAGATAACATTCGCACAGAAATGATGTGAATAATGGCAAAATCAAGACTGATCTTGGACCAGTGATGGTTGAATGCACTGTGAAAAGGGTGCATGTTCTGATCTTGGCTGTGAGAATAGACATGTCCCACTGCACACAAGGGCGATGCTTGTGCACAGAGAGTTGAACTGGATCCTATGCTGATAGCAAAAAGATGAACATAGACTTACTTGGAAAAGGACTGTATCTTTAACACATGGAATATCCTACTAACATGCACATAACATCACAGTTAGCATGTTTTAATAAATATTATTGTTTACCCAGTCTGGGATGGTGAAACTGACAACAAAATCACAGGGAAAAGATGGAAGTCAAATAAACAATCAAGTAATAATAAATAAATGCTACACTTTTTTTTGGTTTTTCATATATATATATATATATATATGAATCACATATTACTCAAACCTGCAAGATGCTGAACAAACCCCTCAATGAGAGTATAGAGTGCTCACCACCTCCAGGAATTGCTCAATACCTTGCAGAACCAGACCCATAATTCCCATGTAAGTTCATACATTGACAATGTGGGTTTTTTTAACCAATTTGCTTTAAGTTTTTGCAAGATTTTCTCACAGGTGGTTCCAATTTTTTGGTGTGCTTCTAAATTTAACTATCAAATATCTGTAAAAATAATTTATTGATGGCTGATATAAAATCCCTGATTGTAAGTCATAAAGTTCTATGCTAGCACAACTCCCTCCTCCATCAAAAAACTCATCTTAAAAATAAACTGAAATGCTGCCCAATTGCTTTGAGTATGTTGTAGCTGAATTTTCAGCTACTGAATTTTAAAATACACACTGAAATGCTTTTAGTTTTTAAGACCCAGGCTCTTATTATTGTTCCCACAAAAGATTAGAATGAAGGCTGGTAAGCAGCAATTTGCCATCTACACAAAAACAATTACCTTAAATTAGAAACTATATACAGAGTCAACAATTCAAACCAAAAAAATCATCCATTTACAAATTGGAATTTGCTTTTTTGTGTAAATGTAGAAATTAGACTAAAACAATGATTTTATAGATGCATTAAGAAAGATCTATTATAGATCTGCTACACTGGGCCAGATCCTCATTTGGTTTAAATTGGCATGTTTCCATTGTAATCAATAGAGCTATACCATTTTACTCTAGCTGAGGATCTGGTCCTGTATCCTCATTTGATGACTCTAACATTAACACTATATTTATACATGGCTTCCGAAATCTGGGCAAAAACAATTCTAAGATTGTTAAAGCTAACTTATGATGTAGAAATAAAGTAGATTTCCCACCAAAGAGTTATTTTTTTAAGTAATAAAAATATTTTTGGTAAAATAAATGTATCTGAAACAAAAAGTTTCTGAGTTGTTTCACTACAGAGTAACACCAAACCTATTGACATATTATTTTAAAAGGAAAAAAAATAAAAATGCATTGGAACATGGCAGAAGCAACATGAAATAGACAGAAACTTACTTAATGGTATCTCCTTAAGAATACAAAATAAATATACAAGCAGTTTAAGATCATGTTTAAAAAAAATCTAAGAAACATGCTTTTTTTTTTTTTTTTTTTTTTTTTTTTAAAAACTGTGAAGTAGAAATCACAGAGATTGCCCAGTTTTTCAAAACCTTCCTTCAAAACCCAGGCATGACTGAAGACATTTCATGCTCTGGAACTTCCCTCTCATTCTGCATAGCATGCCAAGGTATTTAGTGTGGAGTTAGTTTAAAAACAAATAAAAGCAGCTGCATTTTCAATTTAATAATACCAACAAAGTGGTGATTTCCTCCATTAAAATAGACACTTTTATTTATATGCAGACTGTATACTGTATTTCTCTTTTTTCTTTCTTTTCTTTTTTTTTTTTAACTTCAATAACTTTTGGATACATTTAACAAATTTTAAAATATATTTAAAAAAAAATCATTTGCATGAGCCCCCTAGTGTAAAACTTGATTGCATTCCAGATCTTTTGCTTAATTATTAAGGAAAATCAAAACAGAAAATCAGTACAACTGATTAGCATTGCTAAAGTGTTTACATTAGCAATAAAAAAAACATAGATGATTCATTTAACTCTTGCTGACTACACTTTGCACTGATGTGTCCTGCTCAGAGATCCATGTTTGCTACTATATAGTGCTACAAAAGGCTCAACAGGTAATATTACCAGTATTTTTCCAGTGCCCCCAATATGCAGTGTCTACCACATACGGTACAAATGATCTAAGAGCTGAAAACATTCATGTTGGAATATGTCCTCTGTCTACATGTTACTGATTAGCAAAAGTATGTGTAAGTAAACAACTCATGTAAGAAGAGAAAGATCTTCTGACCTCATACAGATTTTTGTATAATTTATGCCACTGATGTTGTAAACACTTGCTACCAGGCCTAGAGCTATAAGTAATTCCATTTAAATCAATGGTAAAGTGTTCCAAAGAGGTGAAGAGGAGCCTTCAAAATGCTCCCTCGTTGCCAGCAATATGTTTTCATACTTAAAAACCAAGAAATTTGTCACATCATATTTAATACTGCAAAACTAACAAGCAATTTAGGAAGTAAGATGTGAGGGCTCCACCGAGGCCACGTGTAAGTTCGCAGAGTAAACTTTAAAAGCAATTTATTTGACTGGTAACCAATCAATGCAACTCTTTCAGCATAGATGAAGTACACTCCCATCCTTCATCAAGGCATGACTGAAACCAAAACAAATTCAATCTAGCAACAGTAATAAGGTCTTTCTAACCACATTTTTCCTCAAAAGAATAGGATAGGATGAACAATGACCACCCAACAGTTTACAACAGAAGGTGTTAAAATTTGATTGCCCTGCCTCATTTTCTGTTACTAGTATTGGAGGCAAAACCCCAGATTTACAAACAAGCAGCATTATTTTCATTTTGCAGGATACCTAAGGGAATTCCCTGGCAATCTGGTCATAGCATCATAGAATATTAGGGTTGGAAGAGACTTCAAGAGGTCATCTAATCCAATCCCCTGCTCAAAGCAGGACCAACACCACCTGATCCAAAGCCCACTGATGTCAGTGTAAAGATTCCTACTGACTTCAGTGGCCTTTGGATAAGACCCCTGGTCTGGACCCATAAGAGGAATATGATGCTGACACTGAAACTGCCATAGGTTGTTCCCTCTGTCACTTACGTCACGTAAACAAGGATTACACTGAATACCTATCTGGATGTAAGTGTTTACTAAATCAAACAAAAATAATTAATAATTCTTCTTTGAAATCTTTTAACTGATAATCCCAAAGAGTTTTATAAACATTAATGAGCAAATTGTAAGATGTGGGTATAAATAGGTACATCCATAAACTTGTATTCACATGAGCAACCAGACAATTACAATAGTCTGTCTCGTAAGCGAGTGAGCAGATCCTGTAATTGCACCATATATAGGGGATAGTTAACTGTTACTATACCTGATTTGTGCACACAAATCTGGGATTTGTAGATGTGCCCACTGCACCCACTTTTGATAATCTGGACCTAATTAAGAAAACCTCAAAACCCCAGAGTGGTAGGTAATATTACTATACCTGGCAGGTAGTTAACTTTTTTTAAATTAAGTTCAGGATCAGAAGTAGAAAAAAAGGAAAGGAAAGCAAACATTCCTCATTTACAGATTGGTAAATGGAGG